TCTCTTCTTTTTGTCTGTTTTTTTTGTTTTCGTGTGCTGTTGTAGAGAAGTGTCCTCGTTTCAGGGGTTAAGGGTTCTACTAACATTATACCATACACTTGGAGTATAATCGTAATGTGTCCATGCCCCGTTTGTTGCAGGCAAGGAGCTGGTGTGCGGTCAGCACATTGATCCAGTAGACCTACGAGAGCTGTGTTTGAACCTTCGCAGAAAACTCCACGATCAACAACAACAACAACAACACTTTCTCACGCACAACACTACCTCACTTGATGCTGCCCAGCCTCCCAGTAAGAGAAACAGACCAACCCCAGGTGGTGGGTGTCCGCCAATGTCATCTCCATCATGTCGCTACCAGCTGAGGTCGCCACAGCAACGCAAGAGCCCCCGACAACTCACGCAGCGCAACTCCCCCAAATCCAACCCTCCTCCACAAATTTCCGAATCTCCTGCTGCAACTTTAATCTCTCCTTCTTCTTGTTCTTCTCCGACAGAGGGTGTGGGAGGTGAGGTGGCCAAGTCGTGGCAGAGTTTGCCAGAGTCAGCATTTGATCTGCTGGAGCGCTGCTTGGAGTTGAATCCATTGAGGAGACTGTCTGCTGCAGAGGCCCTCCAGCACCCTTTTCTAGCAGACGTAGTCAGATAGTATGCCCGGGTAATGTGTCTTCACCATAATCTTGGGTGTCAACGCTTTTAGCGCGCGAGACGTCGGCTGATTGTGTGGGGGCGGGGCTCGTTTTTTGCGCATGCGCAGTGATTTTCAGCTTATCTTGCGTCTATGAATTCTGTCACAGCAGTGCGACAGCGAAGTCCAGCTGAGCTAGCTGCTCTCTTATTCCCAAAGCGAACGTGATCGTCTGTCTGGAGGATCCAGATTATAGGCTCAGACCCCTTGTGTGTAGTTGATAGCTCCCTCGAGTTGCTGTGACATCTGGTCGGCCGGAGACAGAGAGAGAAGCGGTCGCCATGTCCTCGGTGAAGGTGGCGGTGCGGGTCCGCCCGTTCAACGCCAGGGAGAAGGGGAGAAACGCCGTCTCTATCATTGCCATGGAGGGAAAGACTACCTGTAAGGTTATGGGGGGAATCACAGTCGCATGCTTATTGGTTAGCCCTGAAACTCGTCAAACTCCCGGCGACAACTACTACGGCTTGTGTTTGTAGCCATGTGCAGAGCCCGCTAGCCTTGCAAGGACATTCACATCCATAAAACTCATTGTTATGCAGATAACTAGATTCGTAGACGGCGAGCCTTTTACTTTCTAAAGTTACGCTGTATGAGGCTAACTAACTACGGCAGTGTTTGCTTGTGGCGGGAGTACAGGGCCTCACAAAAGGCTCTAGCAACTCACTCTATGTGTGTTGGACATGCACACAGTGCAGTGTAACCGAGATGCTAAAGTACCTCATGACCAGCAGTGTCAGTACATACTTTGACCATTGTCACATCACAGAGTACACTGTGCAATTCAGTTCATAGTCGGTCACTGATGTAGGCCATACAGGTGAGGTGCACTATTCCAAGGGCTGATGACCTATAGTCTGTGTTGTGGCTGTACACACCGCTAATGAAGCCCTTGTTTATAAGATCTTGTACATTAATTGGCTCTCAATAAATCAATCTTCCTCCTCTTCCCCCTCCCTTCCTCAGCCATCTACCGACCAAAAGCAGTGGCCACCGACCAACCAAAGACCTTCTCCTTCGACTATTCCTATTGGAGCCAAACCGGGGTCAGTGTCTGTCTCATTCCCATTCCACTACCCTGGAACCGGGAATGGAATTCTCACAGTAGCACTAGGTGTCCAATGAAGGAGAAATTGAGCACATTCCACTGTACATACGCTCTATGGAAAGGTCTCCCTCTTACTGTCTGGTACTTTGCACAGAATTCCGTCCACTTCCTCTTTTGAGTTTCCTTTCAGAATCACTGTCTGCTGCATACCCACTCATTTGGTTTGTATAGTAACACGTGCATCCACGTTTGTGTGTGTAATTATTGTAACTGCTGCATTCTTCTCTAAAAGCACCCCTGAAATGCGGACACCTCTCTAACGAGAACACCTTTTCTTTCCCCCTGAACAGTCATGTAGTGTAATGTAACCCATAAGGATACCTCACTATAATTATGGGCAATTTCTTCTCTCCCATTGGTACCTAGTGAATTGGACTGTGTTATACTATATGCTATTGAGCGAGTGTTTCTCATGCACACACAGCCGGAGGACCCGAACTTTGCCAACCAGGAGCAGGTGTACAACGACATTGGGAAGGAGATGTTGGAACATGCCTTTGAGGGGTATAATATATAGGCAGGCACTGACAATACTGTCATTCATTTCCCCCTAACTCAACTACCGTAACCTTCATTTCACCCTTCCCTCTTCAATCCCTCTTTTCCTTCATCGATACCCCTTTTCAAAACTCTCAATCGCTCAAACCTTTTTCCTCTCCTCCCTCCCTTCCTCCCTTTCCTGTCTCTTCTATATTATCTGCAGGTACAATGTCTGTATATTTGCCTATGGGCAGACAGGGTCAGGCAAGTCCTACACTATGATGGGGATGGGTACCAGGGAAGAAGAAGGAATCATACCACGGGTAAGTCCCCTTACTTATGTGCATACCTCCTATACAGCTTGAGGTAGAGCTAGTCAGTTTGGTAAATACAGTGGAACCCTTCTCTAAGGACACCCCTGAAATAAGGGCACGTCTCTAATAAGGGCACCTTTTCGTTCCCCCTGAACCATGTGATTTAACTCCTGAACTAATATGGACACTTTCTTCTGTCCCATTTGTGTCTGTATTCACTGTACTGAGAGGGGGGGGGGAGAGAGAGAGGGAGAGAGAGAGAGGGAGGGAGGAAGGGAGGGAGAAAAGCTTGGGGTTGTTAGTTGCAATAAAACGTACAAAGCACTTTATGGCACATTTATCCTTTGCCCATCCAACTTTATAATTCGCAACTGGTAAACCTTAGCCAAACCCTCATTCCTTACGTAACAAGCCTTTGGGGCTTGTCTGGAAACATTTGGGAGAGATGCAGTATGTTTGTAGGACACTTTATCCATCCAACTTTTTAATTCACAAGACGTAAGCCATAGCCAAATCGTCATTTTTACTTGCTACTGTATATAGTGCACATGATGTCACCTTTGCATTTTTGTCTGTCATTCCCCAGACTTGTCTGGAGATGTTTGAGAGAATGGACGGAAACGAAGATAGCAACCTCACCTATTCCGTCGAAGTAAGTTCCTATCTGTCACGGAAGTCATGTGACTGTCATGTGACATTCTGTCCCGCCGTGTCAGGTGAGCTACATGGAGATATACTGCGAGAGAGTGAAAGACCTTCTGAACCCCAAGTCCAAAGGAAATCTTCGTGTCAGGTGAATTATCGTTAGTGGGAGGTGGAAATTAATGCTTCCTCTGCTACCTCAACGTTTGCATCTTTATCGCCTTCCACTTCCTCCCTCTCTCGCCCATTTCCTATCTTTCTTTCTGCTTTTCCATGTGTTCTATAGTACCTATTTCTGTAAAGCCTCTGAGTATGTGACCTTAGGGACACCAAACGTGTCACAGGCCTCTCAAATTCAGATGCATAGTGGGGCAGAGCCAAGTGTCCTATTTGTAGGTGTCCTTCATTGGAGAGGTTCCCTTTTCGTAGTTTTCACTTATCAGTTTCTACTTCCTCTCTCTCTCTTCCCCCCTCTCTTTTTCTCTCTATCTCCTGCCCTCCTTCCTCTCCCCCTCCCTCCCTCCCTCTCTCTCCTCATCCCAGAGAGCACCCAGTCCTAGGTCCCTACGTCGAGAGCCTTGCCAAGCTGGCCGTCACGACGTTTGGCAACATCAAGTCACTGATGGACGAGGGCAACAAAGCAAGGTGGGAACCCAGGGCCAACTTCCTGCCGCAGCACACACTGCTTCCACCTCTATACTCTACACTGGTTCCAGCCCTGCTTTATAATATACAGTGGAACCTATGTAGAGAGGACATGCTGGTACCTACGTATGAAGGACATGCTGGGACTATAGTTGCTCTACAGCTTGCATCTCCTCCGGTCTCTTTCTCCCTCTCCCTCCCTTCAGAACTGTGGCATCAACCAACATGAACGCCGTCAGCTCTCGCTCGCACGCTGTGTTCACCATCATTCTGACACAGAAGAAGTACGTAATGTGGCTGATGTTACCGTTTGTGTGTGTTATGTCCGTGTGTGTGTTAGGCTAGATTCACAATATGTCGCATTGGCCCGTCACGCCGTGCCGCATTGCCCCGCTAGAGGAGAGACTCCATTTCTATCTTCGCAGCACGGTGCGACGGGGCAGTGCGACATATTGTGAACCTAGCCTTAGTGCTTGTGTGATAGAGGTGTAGTCTCTTGTCACTGTTCTCACATCCGAGAGTTGTGTTTATGTGTGTGTTGAGTGTGTTGAAATGCAATGTCTTTTGCTGTGCAGGCGTGACACACTGACAGAGCTGATTTCTGAGAAGGTGAGTATAGTACACAACTCATTGTACTGTATGCAGTGTTTTGTAAGGTTGGAACTATGCTTTCGAGGGAGAGCACTTTCAGTAACAAATACAATTTTGCTTTTCCTGGGAAATTTTTAAGGTGGCTCACCTCAAGAGTTTTATGTGGTACTCAGCGCCATCCTTCATTTCTTTCCTAACCTCTCCCCCACCCCCCCCTCCACTCTCTCTCTTTCTCCGTCCACCAATTTCTCTCCATCTATTTCTCCGTCGTTGCTGGTTGTTGTCAGGTGAGTAAGATCAGTCTGGTCGATCTGGCTGGCAGCGAGAGAGCTAAAGACACTGGCGCCGAGGGAAAACGATTGCAGGTGTGTGTGTTTTCTTGCACTCTCTCCTCTAATCAATGAGTTAACTAAACCTACCTACCATTTTGATTGTACGTATAATATGGCGATGACACGTATATACATACCGTGATGCTCTACGTAATTGTAATTAAACTACTGAAAATTCTTATGCTCATTTTCGCTCGCCAAACACGAGTTGCGTCTGCTGTAGTTTTCTCTCTAGCTCTCGTATACACTTTGTCCTTTCCTTGTCTTTCTCTCTTTTCAACTATCACTCTCTCCATTTTCTATCTCCCTCTGCACCTCTCTCCCCTCCCTCCCCTCCCTCCCCTCCCTCCCCTCCCCCCTCCACCGTCTCATCCAGGAGGGGGCCAAGATCAACCAATCCCTCACCACTCTTGGTAAAGTCATTCACTCTCTCGCCGAGCAAGCCTCGTCTGCAGCAAAGAAGAAGAAAAAAGGGGAAAAGTCGTTCGTTCCCTACAGAGACTCCGTCCTCACTTGGCTACTCAGAGAAAACCTCGGTCAGTTGGAGAAAATATTTTTACACACACATTATCGTTCCACCTCCTTGGTTGTTGGTGTTGTTCCCAGCCGCTCCACCAATTTGGTTTAGAGGACCTTACGTAATATTACGTAAGATGTTGTCGTGTGTTTGGTGTGAAAGGCTTTGTTTACAAATTAAGCATTACTCGGCATTACCCTACTACCGTAATATATATATATATATATATATATATACATAAAATATGTTATATACCCCGGTTTGCAGTATATATCTGTATTGGTTCACTGTGTGTTGTGTTTCTATAAATGTGAAGGTGGTAACTCAAGGACTTGTATGCTTGCTGCACTTTCTCCTGCCGACATAAACTACGAAGAAACACTGAGCACTCTGAGGTACATTTATAAACATGTCTCTCTCCCTTCTCTCCCCCCTTTCACCTCAATGGTCTTCCAGTTCCTAGGAAACTACTCCTGAGAAGATGTAGAGCTTCTATTTGCCTGAAATAGTCTGAACTTCCCTGTTATAGCTTCTTTTCTACCACCTTAATGAGAGTCAGGGATTTCGCGGAATAATTGCTCATAATAATCAGGACACCTTTTCAGGACACTACCTCACCGTCACTCATAATGATCAGGACACCTTTTCAGGACAGTGCCTCACCTTTGCTCATAATGATCAGGACACCTTTTCAGGACACTGCCTCACCTTTGCTCATAATAATCAGGACACCTTTTCAGGACACTACCTCACCGTCACTCATTATAAATCAGGACGCCTTTTCAGGACACTACATTGCTCTACCTCGGAATAATCAGGACACCATTTCAGGACACTACATCGCTCTACCTCAGAATAATCAGGATACTACGCTGTAATAATATTATACCTCTGACTCTTTTGTGTGTATGCAGGTACGCGGACCGGGCAAAGCAGATCGTCTGTGCTGCAGTTGTCAATGAAGATCCAAATGCAAAAGTATGTACCTACGTATATGACTAAGAAACTGAAAGTGAAAGCTGAAATTCAAATGTACGCGTGTAATGCTGGAAAACTTGTGTCTAGTAACACTTGAGGGACCAGCTAAGTGTTTAGCGTATTGGACTTCCAGTCGCTACGCCCGAGTGGGAGTTCTGACAGAGTTTCTCTCTGCTGTTAGTACAGCGGAGCCCCCAAAATAAGGACACCTCACTAATATGGACACTTTCTTCTGTCCCATTGGTGTCTGTATTAGAGGGGTTCCTGTGTATCTTATAAAGGGTTATACACGGAGCTCTTTGGATCCATACATTATCCATACCTTGTCAGAACCATTCATACAAACCCGTGCATTGAGACTCCGTCCACTTAGTTCTCCATTCACATCGCACACTCCATCAATTCAGTGAGAGAAATGTGCATTGTGTGTGTGTGTGTGTGTGTGTGTGGGGCTAGCATTGTACCCGAGTGTCTGTAGTGGCTCCATGCACCTGTGTATGTGGTATCCAGTCACAATGGACGTCGAGACAACGGACGGCAGTTAGCACATCTGCTCGCCTACAGCCTGAACATTGCCATCGTGTGTTTGTAGCCTGAGATTGCTCTGTCGCTTTGGGAGATTTTGATTTTTAACGTGTCGGAGCACAACAACTCCATTTACCTCTTTTAAAGGCCACTCCAAATAAAGGCCACCTCTCTGTAAAGGACACAGTACAGTGCAACCTCTTTAAAAGACACTCCAAATAAGGACACCTCTCTGTAAAATACACTTGCCGGTGCTAGTATTTCTCTCTCTACTGTAGTTCTGCCCCATATACTAGTGTATTACACTACTTCCTAATAAGGGACGCCTCTGAATAAAGGATGCTCCAAAACCACTGCTTCCTTCCCTCACTTAGCAACGAATGCGACGACCACAGAGTAATGACACAACAGACGCTAGCGAAAACATCTCAGACCGTTCAAGCACGCTCAATCTACAACCAATGCCACCTCCCATTCTCCCATCCTATCGACTCCCCATTTCCTCCTCCCTTTCTCCTCCTTACTCCCTCCCCCATCTCCTTCCCTCCCTCCTCACTCCCTCTGCCATCTGCAGTTGATCAGACAGCTAAAAGAGGAAGTCAAGAAACTGCACTTTCTCATCAAAGCCGAAGGCTTGGAAGCCAAAGTCGCATCATTCGGTATACAACACACATCTAACACCTGTAGTTCATAGGTTATGAACAGTCTTTGCTGTGTATATATAAGTCTAGCATTGTACGTGTACATTGTGAACACTGTAATGTATGTACATATATGGACCGCTATGAACAGTCTTTGCTGTGTATAAGTCTAGCATTGTACGTGTACATTGTGAACACTGTAATGTATGTACATATGGACCGCTATGAAAAGTCTTTGATGTGTATGTATAGGTCGATCACTGTACATGTACATTGTAATGTGGTGGTAGTTGTGTCATGGTCATTGTGTGGGTGAAGACACTATAGTAACTATGTACGTAACCTTGGTACTTTGTTACTGTATTGTATGGGTGTTGTGGGCACTGTGGCTTCCAGTTTTGCCCACTGGAAATGAGGTGGTGGCCCACGCACATGTAACAATAGACCATGTGATGCCAAGAGAAAACGTAAGCAGCAATCGATCCGTTTTCCCCTTGTCTTCTCCTAAGTTCATCTTTATGCATTCCCCTCTACTTCACTTCCATGTTCTCCCCCTCTCCCGGTCCTATATATATATGTTATTCCTCCATTTCCTACCTCGCCTCGCCCGCCCCATGTCATAATACATTATTATACTGTACTGTACAATGCACAGTTCTCCTTTGTAGCTGGCCACATTCACTTGCACTATCTTCCTCTTCCTCCTCTCTCTCTCACAGACCTACACTATGTACCTACTGGAGGAGGGGGAGCACCTGACACTCCCGGAACACTCAAAGCCGTTGAAAAACTCAAGGTTCATATTTTTCCAACCAAATTAATACCTTATTGAACTTCAATGGTCAGCATCATCTTACAAAATTGGGATGCTCCAGGCTCTCGAAAAGGGTGCATTTCGTGCACACATGAAATGTTTTAGCCCCCGTTTCCCCTATAAGGTCCCTTGTGCAACCCTAACCCAGCCCTCTTTGTATACGTATGCACATGTAGTATAATGAAAACAGCAACAAGGCTTCGAGGCAATGGAAAAGCAAACAATTTTCGAGGAAAAAAGAGCTGCCCTGGGTGGGATTCGAACCCACAACACTCAGCAGTCTAGGAAGAGCGAGCGCTCTACCCACTGAGTTACCAGGCCAACTCAGCAGGGGCTCAAATCATGTGCGAAATTGCGTGTGTGTGTGTGTGTGTGTGTGTGGATATAGGAAGCGGAGAGGCTGATGGCTGAACTCAACATGACGTGGGAGGAAAAGTTGAAGAAAACGGAAGCCATTCAGAAAGAGAGGTAGACTAACCCCCCACACACACTTACATGTCACCATCGCTTTCTTCTTTATCTTCTTTTGTCCTCTCTCCCGGTATCTTTTCCTCCTCTCTCTTCTTTTTGTTCCCTCCCCTCTCCCCTCCTCCTCCCCCCTCACCCATCTCACCCATCTCGCTGTATGAAACAGGGAGGAGGCTCTGGCAGAAATGGGTATAGCTCTCCAGGACCAAGAGGGAAGGGCGGTTGGAGTCATGCAACCCAAAAAGGTCCCGTTACACACACACTCACTCAGTCCATTGTGTGATGAAATTACTTGTGTAAGGGAGGATAAATTTGGTCCCTGTGCCCTCAGAAAATCCTAGCATGTGAGTCAATGTGAGGAGAACTATCAGTCTTGTCTTGATGCAGACTCCCCAAGAAGGTCCCATTACACACACTCCCTCTCAGTCTATATTGCAAAGGGAAAGGTGTGTATATTTCCCCCCATAAAAACCCTGCATACAATGAGTCAATGTGAAGAGCCAATCTGAAACTATCAGTCTTGTCTTGATGCAGACTCCCCATCTGGTGAACTTGAACGAAGATCCTCTCATGTCAGAATGTCTCCTGTACTACATCAAGGACGGCACCACCAAGTCAGTAGAAACATTACCCTTTGCCTGCAAACATGTCCTTCGTCAGACGAAATGACCACATGCATGCTTCCCATATAGTGCCCTACACTAAGACCTGGAGAATTGTATTTGTACTTCTTGGCCCATACTATAGTGGAACCTCTGTATAAAGGACACATAGGGGACACGAACAATGTCCTCTCTACTGAGGTGTCCTTTATTCAGAGGTGAAATAAGTATTAGCGCCGGATCGAAACAAGTGTCCTTTATAGAGAGGTGTCCTTTATTCAGAGGTGAAATAAGTATATATTAGCACCGGATCGAAACAAGTGTCCTTTATAGAGAGGTGTCCTTATTCAGAGGTGAAATAAGTATATATTAGTGCCGGATCGAAACAAGTGTCCTTTATAGAGAGGTGTCCTTTATTCAGAGGTGAAATAAGTATATATTAGTGCCGGATCGAAACAAGTGTCCTTTATAGAGGTGTCCTTTATTCGAGGTGAAATAAGTATATATTAGTGCCGGATCGAAACAAGTGTCCTTTATAGAGAGGTGTCCTTTATTCAGAGGTGAAATAAATATATTAGTGCCGGATCGAAACAAGGTCCTTTATAGAGAGGTGTCCTTTATTCAGGTGAAATAAGTAATATTAGTGCCGGATCGAAACAGTGTCTTTATAGAGAGGTGTCCTTTTTCAGAGGTGAAAAATATATATTACGCCGGATCGAAACAAGTGTCCTTTATAGAGAGGTGTCCTTTATTCAGAGGTGAAATAAGTATATATTAGCACCGGATCGAAACAAGTGTCCTTTATAGAGAGGTGTCCTTTATTCAGAGGTGAAATAAGTATATATTAGTGCCGGATCGAAACAAGTGTCCTTTATAGAGAGGTGTCCGTTATTCAGAGTGTCCTTTGCAAGAGGTTGCTTTAAGCGAGTATAATAATATGTATATTTTCAGCTATGTACATTGAAAGACCTATAATGCTACAGTACTGTACAGTGTGAGTGTGATCTACATACTGTACATACGTCAATCATACAGGGCTGGAAGTGGAGGTGACATTCAATTGAACGGAGAGTTCATTCTTGAAAAACACTGCACCTTCGTCAATGGGAATGGTATGATGACATAGTATAGTATACATACACCCCACAGTCTTTTAGTCACTCTCGTTGAGTTACTAAGGCACATTATCGCGAATAGTCACGCTACACGCTCAACGTGATGCACATGACATTAGAAAATCGACCACTAGTGGCCCAAAGTCGCTCGGTCGCTAGTGGCCCAAAGTCGCTCGGTCGCCAGTGGCCCAAAGTCACTTGGTCGCTAGTGGCCCAAAGTCACTCGGTCGCTAATGGCCCAAAGTCATTCGGTCGCGTCACTCGGTTGCTAGTGGCCCAAAGTCGCTCGGTCGCTAGTGGCCCAAAGTCGCTCGGTCGCTAGTGGCCCAAAGTCGCTCGGTCGCTAGTGGCCCAAAGTCACTCGGTCGCTAATGGCCCAAAGTCATTCGGTCGCGTCACTCGGTTGCTAGTGGCCCAAAGTCACTCAGGCTTTCCTGTTGCCTCAGCTGGGTCTGTGTACACAGACACCTCGTTTCTTGTTTACTTCTCGTCAACAAACAACAATCTCTTTCACTCGTCGTGTACTATATACTACGTGTATGCAGTTTCAGTTTCTCTCTGTCATGATGCAGGTGTGGTGAGCATAGTCCCAAACCCAGACAGCCAGACCTTCGTAAACGGGAGACCGGACTCATAACCGAGCCCGAGGAACTGCGAACTGGATCGCGAATCATCCTTGGGAACAACATGTCTTCAGATTCACCAACCCAGAACAAGGTGAGGGAGGGACACCAGCACTTGTGTGTATATTTCAAACCATATACCAGGGAAACTTTTGGGGGGGGGGCAGGGGGGCAGGGGGGGGGAGGACACCCTCTCTCACCTCTCTCTCTCTCACAAACGCATCCCTTCAAAACCTGATGTCTTGAGAATCAAACATCAAACACACAGTATAGATAATACCCCACTTGGTAGGTAATGTTTTAAACAACAACAGACATTTTGTTGTTTCTATAAACAGCAAACAGGCATTTTAATTTTCGTAGAGGGCTCGCCCCTTTCACAGAGTGTATGTTGGCAATTCGCTGATGACTTGCTCCACTACGTAAATGGTCCCGGCTGTCAATAAGACTTTTTCGCACTTGTAACAGCCATGAATTAAAAAACCTATTATTATTTGTTTCTCTCCCAACAGCTCGAGCAATCCGTGCTGTCTCCCCGACGGCCTTTGAAAACCCTCGCTCGATGACCCCCATGGGACCCACTGCGACAGCCCTCTTCATCGAGGCAATGGTGGGTCAGGCTCACTCGGTGGGGGGTCTCCCGCCAGTTTCCTTGACAACATGGGCGTGGTAGACTGGTCATTTGCCCAGAATGAGCTGCTGAAGAAGACGGGGAGGAACATATCCACCAGACAGGAATATGAGGAAAAGTACGCGCAACTTATCCTCTTTCCAACCTTCCTTGCATGAAGCAGTTATGTAGAAGACTGTTTTCGTGCACTCCGGTGCTGTTAGATGGATCAAGCGTTGTGTAAGGGGTTAATTTCTTTTGTTCTATCTTTAGTAGCATTTCTACCCTTATTACTGCCACATTCTTTAACGTGGAGTGATGACCACTCTCACTTCTTTTGAGCTCTAGTCAGTTCAGGGGAGAAATTTCACCCTTTGTCCCACCCCAAAACTCTCTCCAAGTTTCATTATCATTGTCTCCTTATGTCAGGATCATAGAGCTGCGAGAGGAGGGAGCTGGAGGAGGACAGGCAGAGGCAAGAGGGGAGGAGACTGGAGCCCACAGAGAATGGAGTCACGGAGAACAGATGGGAGAGCTGGAGGTGGAGCTGGAGAGGAAGAAGAAAGAGGTGGGAGTGAAGAGGATGAGAATAGTTCCCAGTTGCATAGTTGTGGAGACCTGGGCGTTATATCCAATGATGCTTCACGCTTCTTTTGCTAATGCCAACACACGCCTCTTGCACAATTCCTCACCACTTGAACTTCCCGATCGAAAATGGCGATGCACGCCGCATGCGCTCCCGTTTAGTCACCTTGCCCCAACGCATGCCGCCTCTTCTTTTATTCACCTTCCCCTGCGCATGCGCCTCCCGTTTTTAGTCACCTACTGCGCATGCGCCTCCTGTTTTATTCACCCTCCCACTGCGCATGCGCCTCCCGTTTTAGTCACCTTCCACTGCGCATGCGCCTCCGTTTTAGTCACCTTCCCCCGCGCATGCGCCTCTTGTTTTATTCACCATTCCACTGCGCATGCGCCTCCGTTTTATTCACCTTTCCCCGCGCATGCGCCTCTTGTTTCTATCACCCTCCCCCTGCACATGCGCCTCTGTTTTATTCACCCTCCCCTGCGCATGCGCCTCCTATTTATTCACCCTCCCCTGCAAATGCGCCTCCTGTTTATTCACCTCCAATGCGCATGCGCCTCCCGGTTTAGTCACCTTTCCCCGCGCATGCGCCTCTTGTTTTATTCACCCTCCCCCTGCGCATGCGCCTCCTGTGTTATTCACCTTTCCCCTGTGCATGCGCCTCTTGTTTTATTCACTCTTCCCCTGCGCATGCGCCTCTTGTTTTATTCACCCTTCCCCTGCACATGCGCCTCTTGTTTTATTCACCCTTCCCCTGCGCATGCGCCTCTTGCTTTATTCACCCTTCCATGCGCATGCGCTCTTGCTTATTCACCTTCCCTGCGCACGCGCCTCTGTTTTATTCACCATTCCACCGCGCATGCGCCTCTGTTTTATTCACCCTCCCCCTGCGCATGCGCCCTCCTGTGTTATTCACCTTTCACACTGTGCATGCGCTCTATGTTTATTCACTCTTCCCCTGCGCATGCGCCTCTTGCTTTATTCACCCTTCCCCTGTGCACGCACCTCTTGTTTTATTCACCCTTCCCCTGCGCATGCGCCTCTTGCTTTATTCACCCTTCCCCTGTGCACGCACCTCTTGTTTTATTCACCCTTCCCCTGCGCATGCGCCTCCTGTGTTATTCACCTTTCCCCTGTGCATGCGCCTCTTGTTTTATTCACTCTTCCCCTGCGCATGCGCCTCTTGTTTTATTCACCCTTCCCCTGTGCACGCACCTCTTGTTTTATTCACCCTTCCCCTGCGCATGCGCCTCTTGCTTTATTCACCTTTCCCCTGCGCACGTGCCTCTTGTTTTATTCACCATTCCCCTGCGCATGCGCCTCTTGTTTTATTCACCCTTCCCCTGTGCACGCACCTCTTGTTTTATTCACCCTTCCCCTGCGCATGCGCCTCTTGCTTTATTCACCCTTCCCCTGCGCATGCGCCTCTTGCTTTATTCACCCTTCCCCTGTGCACGCACCTCTTGTTTTATTCACCTTTCCCCTGCGCACGTGCCTCTTGTTTTATTCACCATTCCCCTGCGCATGCGCCTCCTGTTTTATTCACCTTTCCCCTGTGCATGCACCTCTTGTTTTATTCACCCTTCCTTCCCCCCGCATGCTCCAATTCACCATTGCCCTTGTGTAGCATTTTTAGTACATTTTCCCTCAGAAGAAAAGTCAGTAAAAGTGGTGGTTTGTTTTGTTTGCAGGAGGAGCTGGTGGTTCTGGAGGAGAAGGAAGAGAGGTAAACTCGATTCTCTTGTCCACGCGTTGGCCACTAACTCTTTCCTTCTTCCCGTCTGTCTGTATGGTGCAGGATTACAGAGCTGGAGCACCAGCTGGTCCAGAAGGCAGAGGATCAGCAGAGGATTGAGAATCAGAAGAGAGTAAGTGACTACTACACACAAGTTCCACCGCTCCTTACCTTTTGAACTCCTAACAATGTTTCCGTTTTTACTATGTAAGGCTAGGTTCACAATTAGGACAAAAACACACTATAATTGTACAATGTTTACACGTAACGTATTGCTTGTTGTCTCCACTAGAAATATGAGGAGAAACTGGAGGAGCTGGAGAAAGCCATGGTTCAAAGGTCGGCCAGAAGAGAGAGGATTCCCTCGTCTCTCAGAGGATGGAGTACGAGAAGATGCTGAGTCAGCAGCGAGGGCTCTACGGGGAGGAAGATGAGTGAACTGGAGAAACTGGACTCCCAGAGAAAGGTGAGACCCGTCGTCTACAGTGACAAGAGCAGGGCGGGGCTTACATACTTAACCCTTAGCAAGCCACAAGCCACGGGCATTATTATACATAATTATATGCCCAGAGCCTCCATAAGAATATATTGCTATAATACCAGGCGTTAATATGTTATACATCAATTCTGCTTATTTAAGGAGATACCCATGGCGTCCAAAGGGTTTAATGTGCTCTAGTGATTCACTCATTGCATATGTTTTTGGCGGCATTGGAACTATGGGCTGCAATTACAGAGCAATAGGTACAAAACTCCTTTTTAGTACATAATGTCTGAAACAAATTATTTTATATACAAACGCAGCGACGACGTGAGAAACTCATTTGAGTTTGGTGGTTTAGCTGTCACACTTGAAGTCGCTATTAGTCGCTAGTCTTACAAAATGACATGTAGACTCTCCGTCTCAGTGAGTGTGTTTGTTTTCAGGAGTATGAGGCGGAGTTGGAGATGCTGCAGGAACAGAAGAAGAGCTACGAGGCCAAGATGGAGGAATACGAGGCCCTCCAGCTACAGAAGAAGGTGCAGGGCATGTATCTTCGCGATCTGACGATCACACTGAAGCAGAGAGAACGTACAGAAGGAGATCCGCCCAGTCCTCCTCATCCGTTGCACGCCATCAAGCAAGACACGCACTCCTTTCTCCCAGTCCCTCCTTCCTCTCTCCCTCCCATCCTTTCTCTCTCCCTCCCTCTTGCTTCTCATACTCTTTACTTGGGCAATAAAATATTTATACGTATATGTTTGAGACTATTTGGTTCATTACGTGGCACAGTTTGTTGCACTTTTCTTTCTCTCTCATTCTCTCGTGACTGTAGAACTACGAGGCCAAACTGAGCGAGCTGGAGTCAGCTCTGGTCAAGGAGATTCAGTCTGAGAGAACCGCTTCTGAAGAGATACTAGAGCTGCAGAGAAAGGTAACCCTTTATCTCTTGTCTCTTCCTTGTTCTCTCCTCTCTCTCTCTCTCTCTCTCTCTCTCTCTTTCTCCAACCTCAATGCCTCTTCCTTCTCTCTTTCTCTCTTCTCTCTTCTCTCTTCTCGCATTCTCCAAGGCATTATACGAAGAAAAAAACATTGGCAACTTTCTGTTGCGAATATTTTCGCCCCCCTTTTCTCCACTCAGGAGCTCATGACTAAACTAGAGCAGCTTGGAGTGGCGATGACACTGAGACAGAAAGAGGTTAAACCTTTTCCTAATCTCAGCTACTATGTACGCACCTACCTCACTGGCTTTTCATTGTATATTCATAGGATGAAATGATGGTTGTTCGAGAGAAAGATAAAAGGTATATAAAATATTTGGAAAGTTTTTTGACGACAACTCGGCTAAATATTTCTCCGTTTGTTTCAGGATCTCTGAACTAGAGGACAATCTGAGGTCAAAGTCTGTTGCAGAGCAGGCCTTGGAGCAGCAGAAACAGGCATGTGACTGTCATGTGATCTGTCTGTGAGATCACATGACCCGGTGTGTGTATGGGTGTACAGGAGAAGAAGAAGCGAATGGATGAGTTGGAGAAATCTCTGGCTGCAGTCGAGGAGGAGCTGAGTCTCAAGAGAACAGAGGTGAGAACGAGAGAGAGAGGAGGAAGAGGGGGGGGAGGGGGAAAAGGAACAAAGAAAGAGGAGGAGAAGGGAGAGAGGAGAGAGGAGAAAGAAGGGGAAAAGGGAGAGAGGAGAGAGGAGAGAGGGGGAGAAGGGAGAGAGGAGAGAGTCATTGGCTCTTTTTCTTATCGCAGCACTCCACCTCAATGACGGAGCAGAAGAAACAATTTGAGGCTCTTATTGAGCAGCAGAGAAAGGTTGGTCAGTGACTATCACACCGACCTTGAGCTGGTACGTACTACACGTAATCTCACTTGTGAACCTCTCATTTGCAGGAATATGATTCCAACGTCCAAGAACTGGAATCCATTCGCTCTGAAAAGGACGTACGTTTCTTTTTTTTAAATTTTCAACTGCATTCTATCATTTCCCCCTCTCTCTGTAGAACTATGAGGCAAAGCTGGACAAATTCAGAGCACAGAAACAGGTATTATATACCATGTAAAATAAAAACTTTCTTGAATTTGCAAATTGATATTTAAGCATGCTGTCCTTGCTCATCCATAAAATAAAAAAATTGTTTTAAGTCATTCCTGAACTTGTAAGATTTTTAGTTATCGTGTTTTTCTGTTTGTTTGTTCAAAATGCTACACTTCTTCAAATCTGCAGGAACTCCAGTCGAAGATTGAAGATATGGATGACCTGCACAGACAGAAGAAGGTGAGGCTAAGCCGTGTGTGCGAGTGTGTCCATTACATTATTCCAAATACCGATGACATCATCAGAACTATGAGAGGAAACTGGAGGAGCTGCAGAAGGCACTGGAGCAGCAGAGAGCCAAGAGAGTGGCTGCAGAGACCATGGACCAAGTCATGCGTGAGTCGACACAGAACTCTGAATCACGTATTTGGGGCTGAAACAATAGAACAACTTTGTTGCATGCAATACTGTTCTCTCTCCCCACAACCTTGTAATGCAATTTGCTTCGTTGTGTACAGGGATAAAGCATTGTCCGTAGCGTTCAATATTTCGCGACTTGTCTCACACAACAGATGTATAATATACGAAATTTCGTCTCTGACCACTCTCACTGAATCTGGGTCGACCCATTCACTGATCGGGACTGACCGATCTTGTCTTGATTTTTGCATTTTAATGCAGTGCTGAGGAGTGTAATTGTTAGTCTTTAGTCTTTCAGTGATCTTTACTCAACAATGTATATTATGTACATACATATTTCTGCAGTAATATTCCTAGCTACTAGCTACTGTCTTGTTAACCCTCGGCGCGCATGCGCAGCGAGGGTTACAGTAGTCGTTCTGTCTGTCCGTCTGTCTGTCCGTCCGCGCGAGTTCTAGCACTACAGGCTACGAGGCGGCCAATGAGTGGCACCAACGGGTTGTGAACGGCGAGAAGATTGATATTAATGTGGCGATTTTCCCGAAACGACTGCGTTCCAGAGATATGGTGTGAAAACAAGCGAAAAAGCCAACGCGCGGTCGATCGCGCACGAGCGCCCTCTCTGCAGGCTATATAGGCGCACGCGTAATGTCAATTAATCGCCGGAGCATGTGCTTGGTTGTATATCGATACACGGCCTCCTGTCAGTTTTGATCTCTGTTCCCTATGGATAAACGATAAACATGCTGAGCAAGCAATAGTTCAGGTGGCGAGCAGTTTTTGGTTGCGGCCTTGCCTCCCATCTATAAATGTCTGGCGAGGGCATTGAAACACAGAAGAGCAGATAGATTGAATAAAGCAAATATGAGAGCCTCTGAAACACCTGAGCATTGCTCTAACCGCTAATGCAATATCTACCTGTGTTACGGTGAGACTCGTGTTACTGGCTCCGTCGATGATCGCACGGCCCAGCATACAGCGATGCTACAACTCGCTAGTTTACCGCCGAGGGTTTGCACTTAGTGCTTTCATGATTCTGCAGCAATGCTGAATCAAGAGCAGTGGAGATAGCCAAGAAGGTTGTACAGGGTTGGGGCAGCTACGCTTTCACTTCTCAAGGTACCTGTAGTACCCAACTGTTTGCTCTGATTCCATTTCTCTCTCTTCTACTCTCTCTTGTCACTGTTTTCTCTTCTAACCAGTTGTGTTGGTGTTTTGACGAGTTCACAGTTAGCTTTCATGCCACCTCTTCTACCCTTTCTTGTTCTTGTTCCTTCTTTCCCCATCTTCTCTCTCTATCTCTCTCTCTCTCTCTCTCAGGAGGAGCTACTCTCGAATGTGTCAATCCTCAAAGAGGCCAACGCCATAAGTGTGGAGCTCCAGAAGCACGTCTCATTCCAGTTCCCATTCTCACCGACACCCCCTATTCCCCATCCGTTCTCTGTTGCCACGGGGAAACAGACGTCGATATCGATCTGGAAGAGAGTAAGTTTGCTGTGGCTCAGATGGAGAGCATGGACCCCTTCAGACCAAGGGTCCTCTGTGGCGTGGAGGTGAAAGACAGTAAACATGGGGCCACGCACTGTGCGTCCATCAGCAAAACTAAGGTCAGTGTGTGAATCATGAGAAACTTTTAATGCAACGCATTTGGCGAGCGGAAGCAAGAGTAGTAATTCTCGCACACATATTTAGAAACATTACTGTATGGCCAGTGCCAGTCACATGACAATAAGAAACGAATCCCGCATTCAAATGACTAGGTAGTCTCGCTTTGCTCACCAGTATGCATACGTCTAGCTCCATTAATACGTAATCAGTCATGTTTACGGGAATAGATTTACTAGGAGAATACTAGGAAATTTGGTTTGTTCTATGTTATGTTTACTGAGGACGCTTTGCGGTTAAACCTCAAACTTTAATGCCCCCCGCCCCAAATTTAACTGCTGTTGAAGATGGTAATGTACCTGTTGATTGTCATCTCGTAGACAGAGGATGGATGGTGATGAGGGAGATGTACGAGTCTCGCCTGTCACCGGAGCCCTCTCCCCCCATCTCTCCTCCCTCGCCATGATTGGTGGGGACCTTCTATGATCGCAATCCAGGGTTCAGGACTCATAGGCAGGTACGTATGTACACATTACACGGTTGTACTACTGAAGATGTTTTTTTGGGGGGGGGGGGGGGGGGGGGGCGGTGGAGGGCACAAATTATACCTAGAGAAAGTTTTTACCCCCTGTCGTCCTTTTCTGGGGTTTTTTT